CACTTAGATAATTTGCCGACCACCGTTTGAGCCTCTGTGGGAGAGAGGAGGCCTCTATATCTTCTAGTAGCGTGGAATGGCAGACGGTGTCAAACGCCTTTGACAAGTCCAACGCTACTAGAATCGTTCTCTCACAGGGACGGTTACGGTTAAGGCCACGAGTTATCTGAGTGTTTATGGCGTTAAGTGCTGTTGTTGTGCTGTGCACTTTACGGAAACCATGCTGATGCTTCGCATGAGTAGCAAGGCCTCGAGTGTCTTCGCTACCGGGGAAAGGAGTGTAATCGGACGATACGAATCTCCTTTGTTTGCAGGTTTCCCCGGTTTGAGCAGTGGGACCACTCTCCCCACCTTCCAGATGTCTGGGATGATGAGAGTGGCCATTGACAAATTGAGGACCTCCGTTAGGTACGCTACCCCCGCAGGACCCAAATTTTTCAGCATCAGCATGCATATACCGTCGGGACCCATGGCTTTGGAGGCTTTCGCCTTCCCGATGGCCACCTGAACTTCACCGCAAGTGAAAGCAAGGGGGGCACAATTTGTTGGCAGTTTGTGCATCAAAAATTTTTGATTTTCCATCAACACGAGCCGACAACAAGTACGTGTGACACGACGATCTCCGATTGCCTCGGTTGCTGGGGTAACCAACAACGGATGCTTGAAATCGCCGACGAGCTTTAGAACATTCTGAAGTTTATCGCTCATTCTCTTTCTCTCGCTGTTCGCAGTGTTCATCCAACTTGACGTTTCTCTTTGTTGGAACATTCTACGTCATTCTTCGAACATTCTGCCTATTTCTCGTTGTTCGCTTTGTGTTGCCGCAGCATTCGCCACATTATTTATTCTATTCAGGTTGAGTGGCAGTACCACCCATCAGCAAGTGTTCTCTGGTGAATTTTGCGGTGGGCCCAAGAAAAAAAGTAATATTTGTAAGCAAAAATATGGCAACACCAAAGTCTATCGGTTTTTGTTTTGCTTTCGCAAATCGCAATTTTTTCTAGTCAGCTGATTTATCTATTTATTTTGTGGTAAGGAAATAAATTTTTTTGCATTACTGCGCAAAATTTTCAAACAAATAATACACAAATCATCAAGCAGGTTAAAAGGATTATCTTGCATCTAAATGAAGCTGAAATGAGCTTTTTACTAGAGCTTATACAAGCTTTTATTCAAAAGATGCTTGCCCTGCTATCGTTTGGCCAGAAAACTATTACCAACTCGCTAAGTATTTATATAAAAACAAATACGGGACGCACAATTTCTGTAAACTTAGAGCCGCAGTGGGACATAAAAAATGTAAAGGAAATTGTAGCACCACAATTGGGGCTACAACCGGAAGAAGTAAAAATCATATTCGCTGGCAAAGAACTCAGTGATGCAACAACCATTCAGGTAAACATGTTTTCATTAATTTTTAATTGAAACATTACTTAAGCGAGCTATTTATAGGAATGCGATTTGGGTCAGCAAAGCATATTACATGCCATACGAACGCGGCCGCAACCGCAAAGGCAGCGGCTGCAGTCCACGGTTATGGAGGAGGAACCGGCGGATGCTGCAGGCACAACCACCCCCACTGGACGTGCGACCACTTCGCTCTCTGAAGAACCGTCGAAGCCGTTGTGCGAAACATTAGTCGATTTGCAGCTTTTGAGTGACGAACGCGTGAACATTAATGAGGAAGGCAAGTAAAAATGTTAAAGAGATGATTGTATGATATTACTTATACATACAGAATTTGGTTTTTAGATCGCCTACGTACAAAAGCGCATTTTTTTGTGCACTGTACGCAATGCAATAAGCTATGCAAAGGAAAGCTACGTGTGCGCTGCTCACTCTGCAAAGGTGGCGCATTCACTGTGCATCGTGATCCTGAATGCTGGGATGATGTGCTGAAACCACGTCGCATTACTGGGCATTGTGAAAGCCAAGAAGTGGCTTGTTTTGATAATGCAACAGGCAATCCACCATACACTGAATTTTATTTCAAATGCGGTGAGCATGTGTCCGGTGGGGAGAAAGACTTTGCAGCGCCTTTGAATTTAATAAAAATTAATATAAAAGATGTGCCTTGCTTGGCGTGTACAGATGTTAGGTGAGCTGTTGATAAATAGTTGCTAATGTGCAAATGATTGTTTAACTTAACTTTGTTTCTTTCCTAATTTGATTTTTAAGTGAAACCGTTCTAGTCTTCCCCTGTGCATCGCAACACGTCACTTGTCTTGACTGTTTTCAGCAATATTGTCGCTCACGTTTATCTGAGCGACAATTTATGCCACATCCAGACTTTGGTTACACCTTACCATGTCCTGCGGGTTGTGAGAATTCTTTTATAGAAGAAATACATCATTTTAAACTTTTATCGCGTGATGAATATGCGCGTTATCAGCGTTTTGCAACCGAGGAATATGTGCTGCAGGCAGGCGGTGTATTATGTCCGCAACCTGGTTGCGGCATGGGATTGTTGGTGGAACCAGAATGCAAAAAGGTCACCTGTCAAAATGGTTGTGGTGTAAGTTACTTACTGGGTAATTCTGGCTAAGATTAGTGGAAAGTCTTTTGTAAGACAATTAAGACAGGGAAAATTTTCTATATATACATACATATAGTACACATACATACATAGGTATACATTTTTAGTTTCATTATATTTTTAGGAACTTATTTTGTTTTTAAACGACTTCACAAAAAGGCCTTATAACAATTGTGTTCCAACACTTTTATTGTGCTTGAGTAAAAAACAATAACTTACATTTTGGTAGAAGTTATATCTGCTTTTTCGGAGATCACCACATCTTCTCATCAGACTTTTTCACTGGGATTCGATCCAACTACCCCAGCGGCCAAAGCCAGTAGTCTACCCACTGAGCTAAGTTCGCCATGTAAACTGTTGTTGCTTTTCCACTTTTTTCATGTGTTAAGCCAGCTACAATCTTCATCTACCGAAATGTGAATTGTTGTTTTTTTCCCAAAAACTTTCAATGAAAACGGCCTCAAGTTCAATAAAATTGTTGAATATTGATTTAATTATTAAATAATTTTATTCTAGTATATGTATGTATATTTTTTTCTCTTTTAATTTTTATTTATCAATTTAATTTTTAGACTATTATTTTAAAAAGAATATATCGACTACTGAATGGAAGATCGACCGATCTTGGTAGCCAGTTCGAAAACGCCCTATCTCAAAAAATTTTCAAGAACGCCCTATTTCAAAATTTTATTGCAAAACACCTTATCTCAGAATTTGGTTCAAAAATGCCTTATCTCACTTCAAAATGTATAGAAAATGTGGGCATTTTTGAATCGGCTGCTAAGAATCGAATTCTGAAATAGGCCGTTCTTCAACCAAATTTTGAAATAGGGTGCTCTTGGAAAGGTTTTTGAGATAGGGTGCTTTCGAACTGGCTGCCGAGATAACTCGTTCCCACGACAGTCGGGTCTACGTAACCGGAACGACCCAGATTTATATCTGGCCAAGGACTGTCACTCCAGCAACACTCCCCAAAAAGTCTTTGGGGAATTTGTATGCTGCTACAACAACAACATAACTCGATCCTCCACTCAGCAGTCGAAATATTTATACCCGAGCGCACTTGTGCACAAGGGTATATTAATTTTGTTCACATAACGGTTATTTGTAACAGCCAAAACGAATCGAGATAGATATAGACAAATGTATACATAAATGCTCAGAATGAATAGAGAAGTCTATTAAGCCATGACTGTCTGTCCGTCCGTCTGTCCTTCTGTCCGTCCGTCCGTGTACACGATACNGTCCGTCCGTGTACACGATACCTCGAGCAAAAATTGAGATATCTCAACGAAATTTGGTATGTAGGTTTCCATTAATACAAGGTAGGTTGGTATTGGGCGAAATCGGTCTGTAACCACGCCCACTTTCCATATAACGGTAATTTCCAGTAATACGAA